AAAGTGCGCGCACATTTTCAGGACAGACAAAAGAAGAGTATTATTATAACAGATTGCTTTCGCGCCAGGAGCTAATAGTGTGAATGTTATAGAATTAGGATCGTCTCCTGGGCCCAGGAAATCTAAGAACAGTTTCACAAGCTTGTACGCTTGTCCTCGATTTTCCTTCTTCCATGATTATACCGCCTGGGATATCAAATTAATCAGCTCTGATGAAGATTGTTCTCAATCTACAATAAACACCTGGTCAATGTAAAAACTATCCTCGAGGTGGAACAGGCCACAAACAGCAAAAGGAGCCAATCATTTTAAGACAAGTTTCTGGATGGAGACGTTCCTTTATGAAACTGAAAATAAGAAAAATAACCTTAAAAGACACAGATATTGCTGCCAGTGTCAGGTAAAGGGGAAGGTTCGCTTGATAGCAAACAGAGACATTATGAATCTCGTTAATTCACACATGTACGCCTGTAGTTAGGTGGTGAAGGACTTGTTACTGGAAGAAAGTCATAGGTCCAAAGTTTCAATACTGGATTTTAAAGAATGTCAAGAATCAGATATGTGAGCTCTTCTTTTTCGTTGTTTGGTAGGCCAATAGACAGTAAGCAGGTGCCTGGGGATTGAAGAGTTACTGTTGTTTTTAGCTAACGCTACACAACAGGCTACTTGAGCTCTGTCCACTGCAATGAATTGAACCCCAGATTTTAGCATTGTAAGTTCATAAATTTACTGCTGACTAAACGGGGAGGGTGACAAGTGTTGTAGTGGAAAGAATAGAGTAGTTAGACTTACTCGTTTAGAAAGTCTGACAAAAGAAACTAAAATTTTTTGCTGTAATATGATATCATAAAAGAAAATGAGCACGGATTCACCGAAGGGAAAATTTTCTTTACTAATCTGTTAACTTTTTTCGAGAATGTTACGCGTTGTATGGATGATGAAAAGGGTATCAACTCGACGAACTTGAGGTTTTTAAGAAGCTTTTGATAAGTTTTAGGTAAGAAAGACACCTCAGTGGGGGCTGGGGAAAGACTATTGAATTGGATCCTGAGATAGTAGATTAAACTCTTGAGTATTTCTAGCTGTATTGAGGCTGTTGAGATACGGCACTAGAATGACTTGGATTTGTTGGTTAGTTAGACATATATTTGTGCAAATATCTTTTAATTATAGTAAATATGAAATAATGCATTTTGGTTATTATAACTTGGATTACACTTTTGATATAGATGGAACCCACTCAATAGCGTGGCAGAAGAAAAGAATCTTGGAATAGAGGTGGATAAGTTACTCAAGCCATTGAAGCAGTGTTCTGTTGCTGATAGGTAATGGAATCTTAGTGAGTTTTTATAGATGGACTGTTTACAAGTCAAAAATGGTAATCATATTTATATATATATATAGATTACTATTTAGGCAACACTTCGGGATAGATTAAGGTCTCTTAACTTATTTTATTCTAAAGAAAAAAGATGATCTTACTGAAGTTTACTAGATTTCCCGGGGGCTCGAGAGGGTACATGATTTTGATTTTTCTGTGCAGTGTTCTGAAAACAACAGGACAATAGGACACAAGTCTAAGATTTCGAAAAGACAGACTAAGCCAGTTAAATATTTTACTTTTTCTTAAGGGTGGGTTTGCAATGACAGCTTTAAAAGACCAAATGGCACCTTGTTATCAGTATGTAAAGATTAAAACAAAAACGTCAATCAAAAAACAACAACAACAAAAACAGCATCTATTTGCGGAACTTTTATCCTAATATACGCTTCTGGCAAGCATAGTGCAAGGGTATAGGTCTTTATATTTTATACGACTTTAAAACTTATTTCCTATGTTAAATCAAAACAGAAACATCTAGGGTTTTAATGAGTCGGTCTAGATGTCTAAAATATAAGTTATAATATTACTTTTTGTAATTTTAGTTTTTAAACTATTTCTGTTTCCAGAAAAACGTGGCACCGTTAAAAATAACATCAGCAACAACGTAAAGTGAAGAAACACTTTCCACAAAAATTCATCATTTCTCCTTCCAATAATATAAAAGTGATATGTTTACGAGTTTTACTTTTTTTTTCTCATTTTGCATTATTACCGGGCAGAAAAAAAGGCAGAGCGGAATTGCTACTGCTACGTATCTGCTTGTTTGTTAATTTCCTGTAGAAATTCTTTTCGAGAAACTTCAGCGATACAAGTCCTTTCTTAATTAAAACTAATTTATTCTTTCTCGTTACAAACTTTGTAATACACTTAATTTCCACAGTCACTTTAAACTTAAATACTTTTTTAAACACACGCTATAATTCACACACTTTACTTACGGTGCCTACTGCTCGCTTGACTCAATTATCTATCTCCGGCTAATATATTAAAAAAGAGGGCGTCTAGCAAACGCTGGGACATTCGTGAGGTTGCCTGCTAAGTCAACATCCTTCTAGAAACTCCAGCGGGCATGCTCCCAGCGTCGCGTGACTTCCGGTGTCGTAACACTACCAAATTGCTATCCATTGTCATACTTAGTAGGGCACGCTATCGCACAACTCAAACAAATATAAGTACTTCTACAAGTAACGATAAATTCAACGAACCTTTTTTGTTTAAAAAATAATAATAATTGTATTTTTGAAGTAAAAAGTGTTTTAAAAAACTCCTGCAGAAGGTAAATAATAGTAATAAAAGACGGCGCCATTAAATGGCGGCCATTTGAAAAATACATTACTCACTAAAGTAGTAATGTCGTCTGGATTGTCTTTAGAAGTTTATTTGGAGATTTGTTGGTTTGTCATCAAGATAATGTATCGAAAACAGATTTTTAGCATTATAAGCTCTTAGGCTTGCTGTTGGAACACCGGGAGGCTTCTGCTCCAAGATGTAAGTCATAAACTAAGGACAACACACAATAACATATTTAATAAACCAACGACAAATAAAAATAGTTTGATAAATTATGCTATCCATCTTCCGTTTATAATGTACACAACGTGGTCACAAGTAAATAGACACCACCTTTTCATGAAAAAATGAAAATTTTCAGTCATATTCACATGAATTGATATATTTATAATTTAATTAATATCTAGTAGATCTTCCTTTCGCTTCGTGGAGTTCGTTGATCCTTTGGGGCATCGTGAGAATCATCTCGTCAATTTTAGATTGTGGGATTTTCGCCCACTCTTCAAAACTTGGAGTAGATCGCTCTTCGAAGTTGGTTTTTTTTTGTTTTTTCTAAACTTGCAGGTTGAGTATGGCCCGGAGGTTTTCGATGGGGTTGACGTCAGGAGATTGGCTCGGCCAGGGCAACTTCTGGATACCATTTTCTTCCTGCCACTTTTGGGTGTTTCTAGCAGTGTGACACGGTGCTCCATCTTCCTGGAACAACGTTGTGTCCTTGTCCACGAAACCCGAGGAATAAAGAGGCAAGAGTCTTTCCTCCAATATTTCGCAAAATTTATGTTGCCAACGCACTCCACTAAGCTCGATCTCCCACCAATCCAAACCATCACGCTGAAACCACCATGCTTCACAGTTGGCTGCAATCTGTTGAGCTAAAACTCTTGGTGAGGCATTCTCCAGACCCATATCCTTCCACTGTCCGAAAATTGAGCGAATCTTGATTCGTCTGAGAACAATACGGACTTCCAAAAGTCCAGAGGCTTGGTCATCACATCACTTGCTCACTTCTTTCGTCTGACTATGTTGGCAGGTCTTAATAAGGGCTTCCGTCTAGCTACTCTGCAACGATAACCCATTCTGTGGAGAATCCGTTGAACAGATTTCGGGCTCATCCCACCAACTTTGGCCACTTCT